GGTTTTGAGACTTATTTATGTGTTTTCTCATTTCGACTGTGGCGGGGGGCTGTTAGCGCCTGCACACATTGCCTCTTCTGAGCTGGAAGAGGTGGGACAGGGGTCTAGAGCAGCGGTAGGAATGGTGGCCCAGAAGCCCTTTCCTGTGAGCTGGGAGCAGCGGGAGGAATGGTGACTGGGAAGTCCCTTCCTCTGGACCAGGAGCAGTGGGATGGTGGCTCAGAAGCCCCTACCTCTGGGCCTGGAGCAGCAGGACTCAGTACCTTGGTCTGGTGATTTGGTGTCCTCTGCGTCTTTGTAGTGTGGAACCAGGTCACTGCCTGTCTGCAGCGGGCTGATTCGGTGAATTCCCTGCGACTGGGGACCTCGGTAGGGTGTGGGCAGACCTGCCTGTGTGCAGTGGGGTGATTCGGCGTTTTCTGGGAGACTCAGGACCTCGGTAGGGCATGCACAGCCCTGCCTGTCTGTAGCGGGGTGTTTTGGCGTCTTCCGCGCGACTCGAATCCTGGTGTTTTAATCAGCTTTTTATCACTATGACCAAAATCCCAGACATTCACAAATTAAAGGTTTATTTGGTTTGTGGTTTCAGGGGATTCAGTCTATGGTGGGCTGGCTCCAAGGCAGAAATATCATGACAGATGGGTTTAGCAAAGCTGCTTAGCAGGTGTTGAAATTGACTGCAAAGCCTGCCTTGGTTGGAAGCCATTTTCTATTTGCATTTTGACTTTAGTAGCATGTTGTGGCAGAGAGACCAGTGCATTAGTCAGTTTTTTGTTTCTATAATGAAATTCCCAATGCTGGGTAACTTTATAAAGACAAGTTTCTTTAGCTCACAGTTCTGGAGGTTCAAGGGCATGACGTTAGCATCAGTCTGGCTGTGGTGATAACTGCATGGTTGGTTGCTTGTGCCTCTGCCCGAGCATGTGCATAGGCAAAAGATCATAGTGCCAGACAGGAAGCCAGAGAAGAGGTCAGGCTCAGGAGTTTATAGCAACTTGCTCTCCTCAGAACTATCCCTGGAGTCCCTTGAGAGATAACTTTATCCCTCTAGCAGACACCTCTTCACAGTGCCACCAATTCACCACCACCAGATTGGAGATGAAGCTTCCAATTCATGAACTCTTGGACAACAAACTGAAACCATATCCAAACCCTAGCAGCCAAAGATGTAAACACCAGGAGTCTTAAATTATGGACCTATTTTTGTTGTTCTGATAGCTTCCATATTCTTCACAAGTTAAGTTTGTTTTTTGTGGGGGTTTTTTTGGTACTGGGGATTGAACTTGGGTCTTTGAGCTTGTGAGACAGGCAGTGCACAAGTTAAGTTTTTAAAATAATGATTAGGTAGAATACTCTCTAAGGTACTGTGCAGCTGTAAAACATTGGACTTACAGTGTATCATACCAAGTTGAGAAAGTTAATTTCTTCAAGGGTGGTTAGAATCTAAAGCTATTATTACATGAAATTATATGTATTCGTAAATGTAAAAAGTTACAAATGAGAATGACTGGACTCGTACATTAGAAAGAGATATGGGAGTTTTGTCCTGGAGTTTGCCCTTCTCATTCGAACTTGTTTTGATGATGGGATGATCTTCATAAACTGATTTAAGTCCAATACTATACAATATTATAGTCACAAACTTTTTCCAATTTGATTTGCACATAAGTACTATAATTCATTACTGTAAGTGTAACAAGTGCTAAAAGCTTTTGGTCTTCCATGCTTTTTAAAAACCATAGTTGGATATTCTGAAGAGTTAAATAACCTGAGTTTCTTTTACTTTTTTAGGATTTAAGTGCCCTGTATGCTCAAAATTTGTACCCTCAGATGAAATGGATTTGCATCTTGTGATGTGTTTAACAAAGCCAAGAATAACCTATAATGGTAAGTCCAACTCTTTAAAATAATACTTTAAATTAGAATTACCTTAAATTTTGTGAATTTTCATAATTTAAATGTCAAGGAACCTTGTTTCCTAGTCTGTTAAAGCAGTCATTCTCAAACTCTGGTCTCAGGACCATTTAAAAACACTTTTTAAAATACATTGAGAAGTTCAAAGAGTTTTTGTTTATTAGATTAAATCTATTATATTTATTATTAGAAATGAATACAGAAATTTTTACTCAATTTAAACATAATGTCATTATATTGACAAATTTTTAAGTGAAAAATAGGATCATTTTCTAAAACAAGTAGTACTTACTGATGAGAGTGGCATTGTCATATTTTTGCAAATTCTTAAATATCTGGCTCAGTGGCAGACAATGCTCCCATCTTTTCTGCATTCAGGTTGTTGTGAGTTGGCATGTCGCATATCCCCTGGCAAACCTTACTCTTACACTGCAGAGGATGGGAATGGAAAAGGCAAATGATGGCTTGGTATAATTATAAAAAATTTTTTTGCCTTGTTAAATTAAGAGGCTCTCAAAGATTTCCTCACTTCTGTACACCAGGAGATTATTTGGACCACACTTTGAGAATTGTTACATTGAAATAAAATATTTTAGATCAGGCCTATCAAAAAAGTATTGTTTATAGTTACTCATTTTCAGAAGTTAGCATGCATGGTTGAAATCATACCTTTTTTTTGTTTGTTCTTACTTAAGAGTATAATAAATGAAAGACAAATATTTAGGAATAGAAAACAAAAGTTTATTCAATAAATAGAATAAATAGAAGGCTGATAGAGGAAAAGAAAGATGTGAAAGAGATACCAAAATTCCATGCATCCCATGCGTGTCTGTCTGTCTTTCTCCCCACAGACAAATAAAAATTTTATTCTGTGAGCTGTGGGGCTAACTGTGAGTTTGGTTAGGTCTAGAGCTTTGGGCTATGCTGTTCTTTCCTGACAAACATTTCTAGATATTTAGGGCTAAGAGATATTTTCAGTGTACCCTGGCATGCTTTGGAATAAAATTGGACAAAAAACCCCAAATAATGACAAATAAATGGAATAAAATAAAGGAAGAGTGAAAGGTTTTTTTCCCCCAAAAGTTTATAAATAGAAACAGGAGCTAAAAGGAATTAAGAGATGATGTGTATCAGTTTCCTACAATGAATGTATTATGCATCAGAACATATACTAATAAAAAGAGAAAAACCAAATTTAAGAAAAATTAAAGATTTTTAGATGTTAAATTTAGTTTGATATATATTGAATAGAAAGAGTACCATAAACAGTAAAGCCAATTAAAAGATTGGCTGAATTTTAAAAAGTGTTTTTTGAGCATCTGTTAATGTATTAGGTACTATGTTAGGAACTAGGGCTGTAATTATGAAAAAAAACATGGTAGAGCCTACAGCTCACCTAGTAGTCACTGACTTCTCTGAGCTAAGAATTATTTGTTAAATCTTATATGAAAAATGTAGTAGCACTTTGTTAATCAGAGATTTCTCAGATAACAAAAATGTTGGGAGGAATACAATTTAACATTGAAAGGAGCATTTACTTTGGACAGTCTTTTCCAAACTGATTTAGGCAACCTCCTCCCATTGTGTTAGCAATTATTTTGAATAGTAAATGTACTTGTTTGTTATATCGTAACTTTTTTGCCTTATGAAATTGAATTGGCTACTTTCTATAATGTAGTTGAAGTTTAGTTACTTAAGTTCTCATTCAGACCCAAAATTTGAGGCATTGGGCTTGTTTTCCATACTTCCTCTATTAACTCCTTACTGTACTCCATAGATGTCTGCTACAGGTGTCTTTAAAATAAATATCCTTAAATCTTAAGTTTCTAAGATAAAAGCACAATAATATCTTTGCACACAATTTTAGTATTCTGCAAATTTACTTTTATATAATCTAGAATACAGTCTTCTAGAATACAGTTATGATACATGACAGTTTTTAATTTCATGATTTGTATTCAAACCATTACATTTTTCTACTAGATTACTTGTTTGGTATCTAAGAAAATAAACCCTATAACCTTTTGTTTGGGGATATTGTAAACCAAAGGTTTAGGTTTTATTTATTTATTTATTTGGTACTGGGGATTGAACTGGGGTCCTTGTGCTTGTGGGGCAGGCGGCAGAACCACTGAGCTAGATCCCCAGCTCAAGATTTAGGTTTTAAATACTCAATAGTGTTCTGTTTCCAAAATTAGTAAACTTCATATAACAAGTAATGTGACTATTTAGCCATTCTTAAAGTAGCTAGGTCTGAATCTCTTAATATTTTAAAGTGTATATTAACTATCTTTAAACATTCACAGCAAGAAGCAAAATACCTTTTTTTTTTCTTTCTGGTACCAGGGATCAAACTTAGGACCTTGTGCTTGTGAGGCAGGCATGGCGCCACTGAGCTAAATCCCTGGCTTTTTTGGTTTTTTGAGACAGAGTCTCATTATGTAGTTCACACTGGTCTTGAACTCACTTTGTAGCTCACGCTGGCCTCAAACTCACAGAGATCCTCCTGCCTCAGCCTCCCAAGTACTGGAATTATAGGCATGCATCACAAGGCCGGCTGAAGCAAAATATCTTAATATCCTCTTCATTTTAAAAAAAATCTATATAGTAGTTTTTTAAGTTTTAAAACTAGCCCTTAAGAAAGGAGTTTAAATGGACTGATTTGTAAGGCACAGAAAAATTAGTTATGTGTCTACTGTTACTAGGCTAGGGGAATTCTAAAACTCCCTTGTTTAAAGGCAGAGCCTTCACATTGTCACATCATATTGATGATGAACCTGTATGAAAACTGACCTCTTTAATGCCTAAGCAAAGCATGAGGTGAGTTAGATAATCTCTGAAACTCATTCTTTTTAGTCATCTGTACTCTTTAGTTTCCTTAGTACTGATTTCCAGTCACATAGATTGAACCTCAGAATTGTGTTAATGCTCAAACAAGAAATTTTTTTCATCTTATTAACTTAAAACTTTTGTTGCCTTTCCTCAAGTAGCTAGATTTGAAGTGTTGAAATTTCCTTGGAAAGTATATGTTAATTTGATTGTCGATAAACATTCACAACTAGCAAGAATA